GTCTTATCGCAGTTAATAACAAACAATTCAACAGCAGCCTGGGATTCGGAGAGCAAGAAGGCAGAGTTTGATTTCTGTCCCCTTTACATTACTCAGTTCCTGACCTGAAACTGCACCAGATGGACCCAGCAGAGACGTTATTGGGAAACCTAGGGGAAGGGCCAGCCAAAGATAGGAGTGCAGGACATCAGTAGGCACAGAGTAGGAGAAAGGACAGGATAAACCACAAAGTCGGGATCAGGTGATGTTGCATTTGGGATTTGAAAGAGTGAGCTGTGGGTCAATGTGAAAGAATTCTAGCAGTGGCACCTGAGACCCTTAATAACATGAACAAAGATCCATTTCCCCATGCTAAGACTTGTAGTATGAAATTTGTTGAAACTTTCAATCCATTTCACAGTCATTCCTGTAAATCATTTTGAGACAAGCTTCCGATGTGATCAGATGCTACATCAAATGCAAAGATTATTATTTATTATTAATTTTATTTTAAATTCGTCCTCAAATGAAAACGGCTTTCATTGCCCTGATATTAGACCTGTAGCATTTTTAAACCTATGCACTCACTTTTCACGTTGGAGTGAAAAAAAACTAAAACTAAATTGGGCTTTTATATTTGTCATTGCATTCAAAAATTGTTGAGCGCATTTCAAAATGTCTGTGGGGGTGAACGGAAATAGAGGGCACATCTTTAAATGGGCCCTTTCAGCGAAAGTATGAAGAAATGTACAGTATCTCAAGATTTTTTTTTCTCTCTGCCGCTCTCTATGTGTTTCTTTTTATTGCGCTCAGCAAGTTCTAATATTTCAGCAAAATCTCCCTCCCATAAATGACATTTCTGTAACCTTTAGCGAGAAAGGCTTCTGCTTTTGGTTCAAAATATGCAGAAAAAGTCATTACACCTCATGGGATGAAATTTGTTGCGTTTTATAATGTTGCATCGAACATGTTATAAAATACAGCAAATGCCCAAACCCCCAACCCCCCCACTCCCACTCCACACATCTTGCCACATCCCCCAGAAGTGCATTTAACAGGAAATGGAATTAAATAGTTGGTATAGACTTACTGTCGGAGAAGATTCAACAAGACGACGGTCCGTTCTTCATAATAGGAAATGCCTTTAACATTGAGAACAAAGTCGAAAAGGTTTAACATTAAAACACCTGAAGTGGGACTAGAGATTAGAAGATTTTCAAAAAAAATCACCAAACTATGGAGAAAACTCCCAACAAAAGCAGTTTCTACTGCATCGATTAACTCCTTTGAACTATACCTGCATAGTCTACTTGAGTGTTTTAGAGGATATAAGAGATGCAGACTGATGTGAACAGATACTCAACACGACTCAATGTTTTTATACTGTTGGGACTAGGAGGGAAAGGAATGGGGACCTGCAGAGGGAAGGAGACCAGGGTTGAATAGGGAAGATGTGATATTCTGCGATATCACTTGATTATCTCTGAGGGGCTCCAAGACACATGAAAGGCCCTACACTATAGGAATGCAAGTTGTTTCAGTGTTGAGGGAGTCTCTACATAATACTTCAATTTGTGGCTGTTAATGGAATATTGCTGTGTCCAAATTGGCTGTCACGTTGGCCTACAAAATACGAAGTCATCACATTTTACAGTAAAACCCTGTGAAGTGTTTTTGATGACTTGCTAAGGCGCTATATCAAATGCAAGGATTCTTCTTTTTATAAGACTTTTACCTGGGTAAAAGAGCAAGTGGGGTGAAGTCCATGATAGGGTACGGTTGGCACGAGGAGCAGGCTTGCTGTGCTGAATGGCCTCTCCTGCATCATGCTTACATGGAAGGCTACACTTCCAGAGAGGCAGGAGAGAGAATATGCAAGAGGGGAAAAAATAATACAGTCAACTGGAATATTGAGGCTCCTTATCACAGAGAAAAACAAATAAGAATGAAACAAAAATGTGTAGTGCTTACAGATGTGATGGGAATACAGAGCTGGTGCTGTTGAATTAATTTCCTTGGCTTAGCCAGAATGTTGACAGTGATTTGTCCCGTCTGCAAGGCAGGCGCTTGCCAGGCGCCTAGCCTGTTAATGCAGTCATTCCCAGCTGATAGCTGATGCAAATTTGAACTCTCTAGGGGACAGAACAGGGTTAAAAAATCCTGCGTGACATCATGTTGACAGATGATATCCCATGTAAAATATGAGCTTTTTGTGTTGAGCGTTTCACCCGCATCTCCTTCCCCTCCCTCTATGAGAGGGTGAGGGGGTGGGGGCGGGAGAGTGGGATTGGAATTCTAGTAATTAGACCCTGACTTACCGAATGGCATTAGGTTCTTGTGCCAAAGTTCACCGTCCCGAAATGAAATCTAAACCAATTAATCTGTTAGATTTTTATCACTCACCCGTGTTTTCCCAGCAATTCCCTCAGCGCGTGCCCTTTGATCGACTCTGATCAGTCTTGTAAGAGTTCTGATTGTCTGCCTGGTGCTTCAAAGCTCGAGATGACATTTACACCGCACTCATAAAGCAATCAAATTTGTGAAGCTTTTAAACAACTGGGGCATAGTTATATTTAATAAAAGCCTGTGTATAATAACCTGAATTAGCATTTTATGCCATGTAATACCTCTGAGAACATAGCATTTTATGAAACCATGTCTTGTGAGACCATCATTGCTATAAGATTATCTGGCCCTTAGATTTCTATTTAACCCTTAAACTCCCTGGGCACAATATACCACCCAGCTATTAAATAAGCCTTTGCTCCGACTTGTTTTTCTTGACTGAACTCTCTTCTAATTCAATATTCAGTATTTGGCTAACCTGGTGATGAAAAGCACCAAGTGAAGCATGAAACCATACAACCCAGAAGATTGACATTTTTATCCTTAAGACCATTGTCTTAAATATTTAAGATTGTGCAGAATTTGGGAAAATTATTAAATTCATTTTCAATTTGGAAGCTATTTTTCTGCAATTCTTAAAATGTTTCCGAATTTAAACTGAATTGAAGAATATTCCAAAATTCTGCACCATCTTAAATTTTAAGACAATTTGTCTCTAGATTGTCTTTTTTTGTTATTTATCAATAGATTTAAAGCTCCCGTGTTGAATAATTTGGTAAAAAGACTGTCTATTATGGGATTTAGACGTATAGGCTGGTAGGACGCTGATTTGATCTCTGGTCTGTGTTGAGTAGCTTCTCTAAGTGAGTTAGCATTAAGCATGGGCCTCAGATGCCACTGGGCTAGAGTGGAGGAAATCAGGAAGGGACTCTCGCTCCCAATTGCAATCTAGAACCTTCCTTCTGCATATCGTGTTTATGGATGTTGGGTGAGGGTAGGATTGGGCACAGCTATGATATACCCCCATAGTTTGAATATGCTGCTGATGCTGTCTGGGTTCACACATGATAAATGGGGCAAGGTAACCAACACTTAAAATGCACTTTGTAATTAAGTGCTTCGCAAACCCTTCTATTTTGTTTGGGGATGGAGAAAAGCTAGAAGTAACTTTTTGTCAAGTTTATATCATGCAATATTGAAATACCTACTTGTTTCCATGGAGTTTATATCACTGCCTCCTTTGCAAACAAATGAATACAGCTTTGCACTCTTTTCCTGAAGTAACTGCCCCTTTAAGCTGAGATGGGTTTACATCTTATTGAGTTTTGGACTGAGATTTTCAGCAATTCAGTGATTTCTTCAACCACTGATCTCAATAGAGTTGAAGTTAACCTTCAGGGAGCTGCACTGAGTAGATTTACAGCATTAGCTGGTAAAAACCTGATTCTTTGTCACAATCCATCTCCCATCGTACAATATTACACCACCAAACCATTCCCAGCAGTTTGCATATCACCAAGTGAAGTTCACCTGAGGCTCAGCTGCAGTAACACAAAGCACAGTCTGATGACAGACCAGCTTGTCTGGCTGATCGATGAGACTTGGAGGTTTAGACATGTTCATCATGCACAATATTACACAATATTACAATATTACATCAATAGACTGAATGGCCTCATCCTGTTCCTATGTTCTTCAGTCCTATGAGCTGTAGTCTTAAGTGGTAAGGCAGTTCTAATGAGAGACCTTGAAATGTTACCAGTGCTCTGTTGAAATAAATTGCAGTTACTGTAGTGCATGTTTCAGCAGCAGCAACCTGGGGTCTGAAAATTATCATGGTCGTAGCCTTAAGACCATTGACTTTAAGTCTATTGCAGATTTGTTGGAAAATCCTTAAATTCAGTCTTAGTCAGACAGAAACAGACTTACAGGGAACCAGCTTCTGTATTGAGGCTGAAGTTAAGAATTTTCCAAAATTCTATATGATTTTAAATTTTAAGGCTCCTTTGTTTTAAGTTTGAGGTCACTTCACATTCACTATGAAGCACAGTGAGTAATGATAGTTCTCCCAATTGCCATCCCAGCTGTGTTTGGCTCAACTCAACACAGAATACAGGTTAAACTGGTGACCTTGCAGTTCAGCACAGCCCTCTACAACACCATGGATTACCCCTGCCCACCCACTCATACTCAGAGTGAATGTGACAAATTTCATGTTCTACTGAGTTACCCAAACCTTTTGCTCGTGGCCCCCAGTGCAATTCTTTGATTTCAGTTCCCGAATGTTGCAGCCCATTTAAGAATAGGAGAGCTTCTCTGAATCACGCTCCAAATTGGTTTGGGATCTATGATGATCATGTTATTATTACAGATTTGCAGTAATGTAATATTATTTATTACAGTTGCAGTGGAGGCCATCAGTTCATCTTGGCTTTCCAATGGAAATTCCACTGAATGAAAAATTAATGCTGATTTATGACTTTTTGTACAGACAAGAGCTGACTGTTAAAAGTCATTAGTGTGCAAAGTGGCCCAGTGTTGGGACAGGATACTGAGAATTTTCACAACATGTTCAGTTCTCCATGGGTAACATTCCCAAGAACGTTGGCTCATGGTGGAAGATTCTCCCACGATGGTTGTTTTGTAATGTTTTTTTTTCCTTTTGTGCCAAATAGCTACCCCATGTATCAAAGCCATCAGCCCCAGTGAGGGCTGGACCACTGGAGGAGCCACCGTCATTATCATTGGAGACAACTTCTTTGATGGATTACAAGTCATATTTGGTACCATGCTGGTCTGGAGTGAGGTAAGTGAATGCCTTGACTGTCAATCTCGCAATAAAGTGTATATTCTTTTTTCTTTTGCAACTTGCTTTTCATGCTAAACCCTAGCGTACAATTCAGCATTTGCTTTAAGGAAAAGAGACAAGTCACATCTGGGCTCAAATAAACTGAATGTAGGGAGCTCAACGTCTTTCATGAGATCACTTTGGCTGAGATCAACAGAGTCTACTCACTCCATTATGTCTATCATAGAATAGCTACTGTATAGCATGGGGTGGCTCTGGTTGAGCAATTCAGAGCCACTTGCCTTTTTATAGCACTTTATCAAATCAATAAATGTGTCACAGGTAATTGTCAGTACATAACTGTTTTTCTAGGTAAATGCAATAGCCATTTGCCAGCAATGTCCTACAAACAGCTATGAGTTGAGTGATCAATTAAGCAAGAGGATTATTGGCCAGGGCACTGAGAAAAATGCTCTTCTCTTTTCGAATGTGTGATGGTATCTCTTCCATTCACCTGCAGTCAGACAGGACCTCAGTTTAACTTCTCATCCGAAAGACAGCAAAGCCAATACTGCAATTCTCTCTCCAATTCTACTGGAAATGTACAATGTGGTACAATATGTACATAATTGGCCTTTGACTGCAGTTATATTGAAAGTGAAAGAAAAAAGAATCAAAGGATTTCTGGAGAGGAAGAAGGGAGTAAATTTCGAGGGAAAAGAATGTCTCAAGTAATGTAGTTGAGCCTCCATGTTTATGCCAAGTTAGTGATCTCCTGATATTGTGAACCGCTTTGAATCAAATGATAACCACAGGAAGCATTTATATAGTGCCCTTCATGTAGGGTGGCACCTCAGAACACTTAATAACTAGAATGGATGTTCTCCACGTGGTTGACTAAGTAACTAGAGTTCTGAAGTGTACAGGTCCCAGGTTTGACCTCCAGTCTATGGTATCAGGTCTCAGCCAGGGTAGTTGTATGGATGCTTCAACTGGCCTGAGTGTCCTCAGGTAAAGAAGGTGTAAAGCAAGCAATCCTAAAGACAATCCAGTGACCCCTGCTGGAAGTTTGTGTGCATGTGCATGTGACAGAGTGACTAGATCAGGCTCCGACATACACATAATAAAAACTTAGCCTGTGCTGGTAATAGCCTGAAGAGCCACTTCCCACCTATATTGCAAACGTCGCATATTAGACCCCAGAGACAAAAGTAACTTGGAAACAGGTGGGAAAACATCAGCATTGTGCAACATTTCCAGGTTTGCTGTTGGCTGGTTGATTGATGGAGGTAGAAAAGTTTGGAAGCCTTGTGGATGGAACAACATCACATCAAATCTGCACAATATTATTTAATGTTCTGATCACACAAATCTCACAGCCAATGCACCCCTCTCTAAAGTATCCCTCTCCAAATCACCTTTCCCAATAGTCACCAGCTTGCTACCATCAGCCACTTTAATGAACATCCTCCATGGTGCCTGAAAAGACTCTCATTAATGTCTCTATTGTTCTCTTGCTCATTTTCTCTCTCGCTCTCTCTCCCTTCCTCCCTCTCCCTACCCCACTTTCTACTTCCCTTTCACTCTGTACAGTCTCTCTCTATTTCTTATTCTAATTTTCTCATCCTCCTCTCTGTCTGTTGCTCTTCTTCTCTCATATTCGTTCCTATCATATCTCTTTTTGTCTGTCCGTTTCCCTCTAACTCTAGTCTCTCTCTCATTTACCCTTTCCCTCTTTCTCTAGTTATTGTGTCTCACTTCTCTCTCTCTCTGAGTTTGTAGCCCACCCCCCCCCCTCCCCCCCAGGCCGAAGGAGGCAGACATATGGCAGCAATTTCCATTTGAATGATACCCCTCTGGCCGTTCCTGTAAACCCCAGACTAGCAAAATTCACCTCTGGTTCTTCTGCCTGGGGCCCACCCAGTGCCATATGTTAACAAAAGGGAGTCCTGAATGGCTCAGTATCCTGAGTGTAAGCACCATGAGGTTAGATCTGATTTCGTATTATTTATATTGAAGATGACCTTTCTAACCCCCTGGATCCTGGAAGGGTTTCACATTATAACACAAAGCAACTTAAGGTCCTAAATCCTCTAAAGCCTTTACTGGCTGCAATTCAGAAACTAGATTTAAGCCCCAGTGAAACGTGGTTTTCATTGAAATGCCGTAGAAGTGCTGATTATAGAGTCGGTTTCTTAATTTTCTTTGTCAGGAAGCATTGTTTAGCCATCAAATTTTAATCATGTAAAAACACTTTTTACTTCCACTTCACCGTTGGAAAAATAGAGCAGAATTAGCTTTTCACCAATTTACTCCCTTCGTCCTCTCCTGAAGGAGTTTGACTCCTCGCTCCTGTTACTGTGTTGTCTGCTATCTTGCCAAAGTAGCCATTATACACTCCTGTTTGTGCTTATGTTGAGCCTTCACAGTGAGTGTTGGCACAGTATCCAACTGCCAGGGGCAGAGGAGGGGGGAAGAAATAACAACCTCAACCAACACCTTCCAGTAGGGGATGCAGATAAGCAGCAGAAATCCTAGCTAAGAAGGGAGACAATTATATTTGTGTGTGTGTGTACACCAGACAAGCATCGACGGGTTTGTTTAATAAATTGAACAATCTCACTGTTGCTGGAGACATAACCGTGCAGTCTGGCAATGATGTGTGCGCTTTTTTGCTTAGCAGTCACTACACTTCACAGTGTATTCTGTGCTTTGAGATGTCTCAATGTTGTAGTAAGGCTCTGTATCAAATACAAGGATTATTATTATTATTATTCTTAGTGGATTGGGAAGTGGAAGCACAGTGATGTCATCCCAAAAGCTGATTGTCGTGACGTTGGCACACTTGGCCCCCCAGTGTGTTTTGAACAGAACCACAGCCAAATGAAGCTGAACACAGCAAGAGCCTGGAGCTCAGCATGGCAGGGAAGCTGCTCGACAGTTGACTGCGTTGCATTTGTCCTGCTGCTTCTCTCCCCATTCTTTGTGGATTCTGTGCAGACACAGGTGGCGTCGGTGCCATTGTGCAGCTCGTGTGATAACATCTTCACTTGCATGTCCTGGACAGCGCAGGAATAGCGACAGGCAATGGGTTTCTGCAAAGATTGTCCCTATTTCCTGCCTGGCACGTCTATCTCCCACCCCAACAACTCCCCTTTCCCCGTACCCCTGGCTATTGTCAGGCCACTACTCGTACCTTGCCACTGCAGGTGCAAGCTTAAGCGCCTCATGAGATCCGTTTCAAATGAAGCTCTCCAAGGTACAGGGTCACAGGGTCATGTTTAATCCAGTTCACCAACCCCCACCCCAACCGTGATTAACTCACGTCCGCACGGCACCGGGGAAGGAAATTCAGAGCTTACAGGGTTAAACTTGAAAGAGTGGGGTGGGAGTGGGAAAGGTTGAACTGCAGGCCAGTTTCCAATTTAAATTTAATTATGCTTAAATTTGCGCCTGATAAGTGCTTGTTTATTTGGCTGTGCAAGCTGTATTAGGACTGATAAGGAGTGTCTTGGCTGACCTGATATTGATCATTGGGTGCCCTCATTCTGATTGAGCCAGTAAATACATTCTGATTATAGCACCCTGAAGAACCCCCTCACTGGTCTCCTAAACTCAATGCAGTCTTTACTGTGGAGATTTGTTTTTTGCCCATATGGAAACCCAACATTGGGATCCCAGAGCTGGTACCAGCAGCCCCTGAGTGTTATGTTATCCTGACTCCTAAGCACCTCTCCATCAATTTCCCTGATCCTTTGCCCTTCCCTCTTTATCTGGAGCGGTTTTACACCTTTTTTGTTTTGCTGGAGGAGCATTAGCAGTCACTGTCCTCTGGTACCTCACTTGCACGGGTATTATTCACATGAGGCTAATGCCAATTCAAGTTATTTAACCACTGGGATCACCACCAGCGAGCCCAATCTTATCCTTGTCGACATTCATGCCCATTTTTCCATTTAGGGTTCTCTGGATAGTGATCCTGAGCAGGAAGCCCTGGCTTTTTTTTCTTCCCTTTTCCTCCCTCCCCTCCTACTTCTCCTTCCTTTCTCCCCTTGTAATTCAGAAGTGCTGAGACCAAATGTAGCCCTACGTCTGCTCCAGATGATACATAGCTAACTCAGCACAGACCATTGGTACCTGTGATTATTGCCCAATGTTCACCAGGTGTTGACTTTACCTGGCCCAATAGGAAAATAAAAAGGTTATTTTTATCTGAAAATTTGTAAATCTATGTGAACTCCAGGTTTAGCAAATTAATGCACTACCTCAATCAGCATTTCTGAATGATTTGAATGTAGCTGCCAGTACAAAACACTGATATGTTTCAAAGTATGGATCCAGTTAGAGCTAATATGTGCTGGCACCCACTGACACTCCTGCTCCACGTACTCATGCAATCATAGAATATTACAGCATAGAAACAGGTCATTTGGTCCAGAAGAATATAAAAATCCCATGACACTATTCGGAAAGTGAACGGAATTTCTTCCAATGTCCTGGCCAACAAGCCTCTGGAAAAAGTGTTCATTCCCTTCACAGCTGTTTCGGGGTCCTTAATGTGACCAAAGTGGCTACATCGCTACATTTGATAGCAAATATGTGTGAAGTGCTTTAAGGCATTTTGACATTATCTGTGTGTATCAGGTACAAAGATTATTATTATGAATCTTGTTGATTGATAATGGAAGCTGTTAATAACCACGTAGACGCACAAATGACTCAAAAGCTTCCTAGAATCACAATTACAAACAAACACTGCTAAAACACCCTTCAATATAGCGCTGCGTCACTTATCAAGTGGGTAAGTAATGGACCCTGACATTTTGTGACATCAAAGCTTGAAAATTTAGTAATCCCCAAAACACCAGGAGGAGGCTAGTGAGCGCATTGCAAGATCGGCTATACAGTTTTCTGATCACACAGAGGCACGTGCCGGTGACATTAATGATGATGAAAGAAGGTTAAGAGGAGACTTAATAGAATTTTTCAAAATTATGAGGAGATTCGATAGAGTGAACGAGGAGAAACTATTTCCACTAGTGGGTGGGTCGGTAATACGAGGACACTGATTTAGTTGAAAAGAAACAGAGTGGAGGTGAGGAGAAATGTTTTCACGCAGCGAGTTGTTCGGATCTGGAATGCATTGCCTGAAAAGGTGGTGGAAGCCGACTCGATAACAACTTTTAAGAGAGAAGTAGATAATTATTTGGGGAGGACAAGTTTGCAGGGCTATGGGGAGAGAGCGGGGGAGTGGGATTGATTTGAATAGCTCTTTTTAAAGAGCCGGCAAAGACACGATGGGCCGAATGGCCTCCTTCTGTGCTGTATAATTCTATGGTTCTATGATGCCTGGTGGCAGCTGTTTTGTGTCCTCACTGTCAATGCTGGTTCAAAACTTCTGGAAGCTGTGTGAAAGCTGTATGTCACAAAGACACTCCACTCCAGATGTAGACTTGTCTGAACTCTGCTCCAGGATTTAGCTCAGTGGAGTCATTTCCAGAGGTAGGCTCAGTGTAGTGTCCACTTCTGATGTTTATTATGTCAGAGCAAAGTTCCCATGGCCAGGAATGACACATTTCCAGTTGTTGATAACCGAGCGGGAATGCCTCCTGTTAGGAATTACTTTGCTTTTGACCCTATAATTATGATTAACCAGGAGGTAAGACAGTTCCTAAGGGTCTTTCATTGCACTCTGTATGTTCAGTTCAATGCCAAACAGAAACACTGACACTCTGAAGCAGACTGCGGCTTGCTGACAAGAATTGAACATATTTATGTTGACCTAATAGCAGCTCGAGGGGCTGGGTGCTGGCTCTGAGGGCTCTGTAGGACCTCATTACCCTCTGTCTCGCCACTTGACTTTAAGTTTTTTTTACAATGAAACATTAGGCAAGTTGCCTTATTCCACACGCCTCTGTTTACATAGCAGGAAGTAGGTGTCTTTTTTGAAAAAATTCAGAATCGGTCACTCAATCCATGAGTGTTTATGGGACGCTGCTGTGTGTAATTGGATGCCATGTTTCGCCCACAAAATATACAGTTAATTCACTTTACAGTATATTCTTTGAGATGTCTCAACAAAGTGATAAGGCTCTATGTCAAATGCCAGGATTATTATTATTACGTACGCAAGGTTATAGCCAAGATGGGATCTCGAAGACGTGATAAGGTGCTATATCAAATGCAAGTATTATTATAGTTCTTTTAATAATAAATAAAATAATCGTTGCATTTGATAAAACGTCTCACAGGATTTTCTATAAAGTGTAGTAACTGTATTTTGTAAGTGAACTCTAAAGATGATCTTCACATCAGGCACACAATGAATCACCACAAACTTCACGCAAATAGCTTATTTGATGGCTGGTGTCAGGTTTGATCTGTTTGTATAGAGTTAGCTGATCTCAGCTAACAGGAGGGGACAACCCTTCCTTCCTCAGGTTGGGATCAACCTAGGCCAGCATTGCACCCCTTCTGACCAGCAGGTCTCAGTACACACTTGGTGTGCTTTTTCCAACTGAGCCATTGATAAGAGCCACCCTCAGCTCTGCCTTAATAGACAAAGGATATTTCACCTTTTTGTCAATTCTCTTATAATCTGAAGCATGCTTTGTGAAATACAGTAACTTTTTCAATAAAATGCTTTTTATTAACCTTGCTCATTGTGTCAGGGCAGGAAGTCAGCCAACCCTGTTTCAGACCAGGAGAATAAAGAGAGTTAATTGCTTTACAACTGCTCTGTAAAACACTTTTAATACTCTTGTCAGTATGTTTAATGTGCACTCTATCAACAGTGTATTAGGACAGTGACACATTTATTACGCGTTTGAAAAAGCCCTGTTTACTGAAACTTGGCAGTGAAGTGTTGCTGAAGAACTCCACTTGATGGCATGTTTATTGTACTTTATTGCAGCTAATTACACCACATGCAATAAGAGTGCAGACCCCTCCACGGCATATCCCCGGTGTGGTAGAAGTCACTCTCTCCTACAAGTCAAAGCAGTTCTGTAAAGGGACTCCAGGCCGCTTCATCTACACAGGTAAGGAGCCTCGGCACATGCTCCTCTAGGTTTTAATGTGTTTTGTTCTGCAATGCTTTCCTCCTTCATTCTGGGGCCTGGAGATCGCTTGGCAACACTGCCAGTCATCTCCCTTCACCTCACACCCCCCTCCACCCTGTACACATAGTCTGTAGGCTTTCCTACTAATTGGGAGACTCAGGTGGAAGCCTAAGGCCCACAGGGCAGTATGCCACCAAGGTTGAAAAGAACAGGAGAGAGGATGAGATAAATCAAGGAGTTGTAGTTGGGTGACACCAAACTTTGGGTTTTTGCAAACCATTGCAGGAGGTAAGGAGTTCTACATAAGATCCTGGGGAAAGACTTGAGATTTCACATTTCACAGGTGCAAAATGTGTGTGTGGAGTGGGGGCACGGAGTGGGAGTAAGCAGAGAAGATACATGACAATGGTTATAAGACACATAATAAGTAGTTTTTTTGCCATCATGCGGATTCACTTTTAATTTGATGGAGCTGACCCCAAGTAAACAGCATTTACGTTTTTAACAGGAAATCCCATTACAAATGCCTACCGTTAAAAGGCCATTAAATTAACTGAGTCAGTCGATTTGTGTCCCAATATCTGAGTCTGTTGGGTCTGCAGTCTCCCTCTGGTTTTGAATGTAAGTGCTACAAACCTACAAAGCTGCTTTGATCACACTCTGCCACTGAGTTAAATAGAATGAAAATTTAGATGTTGGACAGAGCGATTGCCTCTTCCCCCCCCCCCTATTTCAGATTGCTCCCCACCTTCAGATTACTCTCCCACTTCAGATTGCACTCCCCCCCCCACAATCCTGCTCCACAAGCAAACCGAATGACTGAGGTGTGATGTGAACTGAATTTATTGCAGACTTACTTCAATGCACATTCCTAGGGTAACACACACTCTGAACACATTACATAAATCCCTTGTATAAAATGATTTCTATACTATGTATGCACAATGGGAGTGACAGTAGATTGAAGCTTTTAAGACTTGGTGCAAAGTGGGTCCTCCCACGATCTGACTGATATCCGAAAGTACAATATAATATAGTAACGTTAGTGTTTGTCTAAAACATCTGCAATTTTTGTTTTCTTTCTTTACGTTGATTATCGACATTTTTACCGCACAAAATAAATTTGAAGTTTTATTAAAAGTAGGAATACTTCTTTTCTTTCTTTGAATCAGCTGTGGTGGAGGCTAACATACAATTATTTTGCTCTCATTCTTGTTTCTCTCCACCTCTCTCATTCTTTGCATTCTCGCTAGTTCAGTTTCTTTCTCTTTTACTCTCGTTCCCTCTCTTCCTTGTTCTATTTCCAGTCCTGTTTTTCTATCTCTTGATTTCTCTTACTGCTCTTTCATTGTTTTTCTCATTCTTGCTCTCTTTTGTTTCGCCCTTTTTTCTCTCTGCGTCATTCTCACTTTCTGTTTATTCTCATTCGCTCTTTTTTGCCTTTGTTCCATGCATCTCTCCATTTCTCTTCCTGCACATTCATCCTCTTTCTGTGTACCTGCTCTCTTTTCTTCCCCTTTTTCCTTGTGTTCACACACAATGCAATCATGGGGCACTGGTGCTTAATTCACCTTTCTTGCCTTTGTCCGTTCCCATTGTTATCAGTGAGAATGTCCTGGAGGACCACATTTGGGACTGAAAGAAATTCAGGAGCTGAAGGGTTAATCTGGGAAAAATGTGAAGCCATCACCCAGAGTTTGAAGTTTAATAGTGCTGGAATCTCACACACATGATTGCACAAATAGAAAGCCAATTATGGGCATATAATGAAAGTATTTGACTAATGGTTCTCATAATTGTATTGCAGATAGAATTAAGCTTGTAGACATTGGGAGAAAAGAAATAGACCATTTCTACCCGTTAAGAAACTAATGCAAAGTTTTGTGTCCATTAGAGAGAAATACCCTCGGTGCTGAGATAGCTGATCTGAGCCTGTATTGCCCCCAACGCCCATTGCTAAGGAATAGTGGTCCATAGATTATTTTAAAAGATAATTGGCTAGATGCTCGAAAAGAGTGTGGGGAGTGAGATTAGATGAGGTGGCTGATGTGGAGAAACACACCAGCACAGATGTATATAACGGTTTGAAATAATAATAATAATAATCCTTGCATTTGATATACCTCCTTCACACATCTTCGAAATATCTCAAAACGTTTCACATAATATACTGTAAAGTGAATTGACTTTTTTGTGGGCAAAACGCTGTCCTGTAAATGTTCACTGTACATTTCTCCTCAAATAACTCACCACACAGGCATTCTGCCACTGAGCAAAATGGAGTGAGAATTTAGCTGTTGGACACAACATTTATCCCCTCCCTCCTTCAGATTGCTTCCCCCCCCACCCTCCATATCCTGGTCCTGCCAGCTTTCATCACCTCCAAAGCTGATCTGCAAAGATTGGTCCTTAATAAGGTGTCATTCATAAAAACAGACAAACCTATAACTTTCCTAACTTGCATCTACAGAGCAGTGAGCAATAGGTTAATTTTCTGATTCAAATAAAATATCAATTTTCATTATTTTCCATGACACTGTTAACTTGCTCAGACAGTGGATATTGTGGTTCTGAGATGCCCAGATCAGAAAAGACCCAGTTTCAATCTCTATCTAACCCCATCCCACCCCTGGTGCGGAGTTACTTGATCTGAAGCAGAGTTGCAGTAAGGCAATTAGTTTCAGTGCCTGTGGGTTGGGGAGGGAACAACTCAGCCAGGGTTCCTGCTCCCTCCCGATAGTTAGCCAGTGATTACCTCAAATTTAGGATTGTGCAAAATTGTGGGAAATGAATCTTAATTTGGAAACCTTTTTAAAAAAAATTAACTCAATTTTAGAATTTTCCACAATTCTGGGTGATCTTCAATTCAAGTCTTGCCTGCCTGCTGCGGTGAATTACAGGCGTCTAAAATCCCCTACACTTGCAGACACGCTTTCCAGCAGAGGTTACTGGATATGGATCAGGAACAAGATCCCTGGCTGATTTTTTCCCCCTCCCTAGCCCAAGGGCGCTGAGACCAATTAATTATTCCCCTACTGCTGCCCCAGCTGAGATGTGATATATTTGATCAAAAGATGGAAGCTTCTCGATCAGTATGGCTCAGTTTGACACCAGGCAGTGGCTTTATTAATTGAGCCATTGTGAGAGCTTCTTAAATCTAGCACCTGAAATCTAGCAATCTGCTTTCTTTCATTTGTTTAATTGTATAAATGCCTTCTATTTTATTTCACTCCGGCATCACTGAGATATGTGGGTGGGAGCTAATTGGAGCATATAGATCTCAAATGAACACAATTTCATAGAAACATTCCCAATGGGAGATTGGATCCTTTTATAACGATTTGAGTAATTTCCTCCTCTCTGGTTTTAATTTCTCAGACTGGAAAATAAGTTAGCAAATCACAAATGTTTTTAAGGGAGGGAGACAGGGAAGGAGAGGGAGGGGTACATTGGTCATAAAGAAATTACTCCTTGTGTGTGTTTGGCCACTCCCCCTGTAATGAAGGTGATATTCTTCTGACTGTTGTGTGCCTACAATGCTGTTTCACCTAATTGAAAGTCATAAGCATGACTGTAGAGGAAAAATTTGTTTGTAATACAATCATTCTTACATCAAATTAAAGAAAATGGTTACAAGCCATTTAGCCAGGGTTTCACACAGAGTTCAACAAATCCCTAAACAATTTTCTCTCCTTTAATGAAGTCAGTCAGCATTTTGCTGAGGAAAATTGGGAAGTGCGTTTTATTTTGTTCTCGGGGAAATAAAGCAGTTCTCAATGTAAAACCTTTGCCTCCAAAGTACATGAAGCATAAATCCTGTAATATTCTCTACCAGTGAGCTGCTGTGCTTTAATTGACTTTATTAGTCCCTTGTAGGTTTTGAATAACAAGTGAACCAGCAGTTCAGCAAAGCGATGTGAGTTTGGTGTGTAAGCCATTCATATTTCCCATGTGAACTTGTTTTAACTCCCACACAGTTTGAACTTTTTTTAAAAAAAACAAGGCTCATTATAGTTTTACAGGATGTGGACCAATTGGAAGTTCTGTTTCTAACACATTCCATAGAGAAACATTCCAAGAAAACTGGATTTTTTCCCCTCCACAATGTTCCACATCGAACGCAATGTTCTGGAACATGTTACAAAACCACACTGGCCATATGTTTTCTCAGAGGGACTAGGCTACAGTTTTTTGGCTAAAATACTTAAGTACGGCTTGTTGTTCATTTGACCTAGGAGGAGCGGAAAGGAGGTGGGGGGGGTGGGGCGTGGGGTGAAGAAGTTTTGGTAGAGGGTGGTTCAGTCAAGCATGCCTTCCTCTCCAATTTTTAAAAAAAACCTTCCTGCCCCCTAATGGTTGAATGCTTGTGGTCGGGTCTCATTTAGGAGAAATTATTTTTAATTGTCGTTTGTCAAAATATGCCCTGAGGCCACCTGGCTGTGACTAGCCTCTCTGGCTGCTGAGAAGAGTTTTAACTGACCTAAAACCACATTCTTTTGACTGTTTTTTATATTTTAAAAAAATCATGAAATATATGACCTGCTCCTAAAGAAAGTGTGTCACAGGCAAGGTCAAGTATCCTCTAATCCTGACGAGTACGGCAAATGACTAAGTGGAGACAGTCTCCTCTTCCCCAAGCCGTTTTAAACATTTTTAACACAATTGAAATAAAGTGAAGATAATAGATAACGGGAGAGAAATTCCACCTCGGCCTAGAGTTACTTTATTCATGAAGAAATTCACAGTGTCGGGAATTTGACAAGTTCTTAAATGCAGTCTTAATTATGAAGTCTATTCAACTTCATAGTTAAGACTGAATTCAACATTTTGACAAATTCTGGGAGATCTAAAATGCCATGTTGGTAGAGTAAGTCTAGACCCCGGTGGAATTTTACCTCAAGAAGGTGATGAATTTCAGGGCAATAATCCGGTCGGGTGAGGGAGGGATATGAAGCAACATAATAAGGTTCCACACAGAT